CCTCCTCCTCCTCCCTCCTCCTCCTTCTCCTCCTCCTTCTCCTCAATCTCCTCCTCCTCCTCCTCCTCCTCCTCCTCCTCGGGCCGCCGTGGGGAAACCGTGCACCCCGAAGAGGAGCGGGACTGTTATCCATGAGCTGACAACTGGCACCCATACCTGTGCGACCTCCGAATTTCTCAGGGTGGAATTCCTGGGGTCCATGGGTGTGTGTTGTCGGATGGGGGTCCCCGTTCGGGCTGGAGCCCCCCTCGGGGTCCGACAACTCGCGCCCATGACTGTAGCGCCTTCGTCGCCTTGCCCTCCCCAAATCCTCCTCCCTGTACAGGATGCGCGCGTGTTGTCCTTTCGTCCGCCATCTGTTCGATCATGGATCCGTCGTCAGAGGCAGCCGCTCAGCTTCCGCGCAGGGGGCCACCCGGGCCTGCCGAGGACCGCCGGAGAGACCGCCGGAGAGACCGCCGGAGGGACCGCCGATGGGGGCCGCTGAAGGCCGCGGCAGGACCGCCGGCGGCCGCCGGAGGCCGCCGTTGGGACCGCCGCGGGCCGCCCGCGGCCGGCGTGGGCAGCATATGCGGATCCACGGTCGAGCGCTCGAGGACAGCAAGCAGCCCAGCGCCGCCAGGGACGCCAAGGCCCAGAGCCCGCCCGCCCTGCCGGCGGGGTGGACCAGCGCGCTGGACCCCACGGGGAAGAGGCGCGCGCCCGCGCCGCCGCCGCCGCCGCCGCCGCCGTCGCCGCGGCGCACACGCGGAGCGCGCCTGGCAGCGGTTTGAGTGGAGACCTCGCGCGAGGGCCCCATGCGACGAAGAGCCGCCCTCTCTGTGCAGGTGTTGGAAGCTTTGGAGGCGGCTGTGCGCGGCGCTGCGGCGCGAGTCGCATTGTGAAAAGCGTTCGCCCTCCATCTTTGTGACTGCCGGAAGCTTGGAAGACGAATGTGAGCGGCGCCAGGGCGATGACGACTTTTTGAAGTCCCGAGCTACTTGAGAGTACAAGCTTCAGTGCTATTAGCCGCGAGAAGGTCTCAGTCGCACCGTCATCCGCGTCCTGCCGGTGGGACGACGAGGAGGAGCCACCAGTGAGGCAGAGAGATGGACAGGGAGGATGGGGATCCAGATCTCCGACGTCGTGATTCTGCCACGCGGACCCCTGGAGGTCTAGACGTTTTCTTCCCGGGTCCAAGCTTTCATCCCGAGGCGTTTTCTGGCGGTCCCGGAGCCCGGCGAGGGCCCCCCGCCGACAGCTGCCAAACATGTCCTGTCGTGATTCCCCAAAGCAGTGCTTGCCACTTAGGGTTAAGTCGGGAGCGTCCCTTTACAGGAGGAATATTCAGAAATAGTAGAAAAATAGTCTGGGAGGGTTCTTTGACTATGTTTGATGATGTTTGATTTTTTTGACTATCCTTCATTTGTCGTCCAAAGTCCGCCTGTAGGAGGACATGCCCGACCTAATCTCAGGGCTTCTTTCAGTAACTGAGCCCGAGTGGCGGTTCTGGCAGCATGCCGGCCGCCCATCGCCCATCCGTCGCCGCCAACGTCGCGGCGCAGTGATTTTTGCTTTGCATTGCTTTTTGCTTGGTTCGGCATGGCTTGGCATGGCTTTGCAAGGCTGGGCATGACTTCGTAATGCAGAGCAAGGCTTTGTGGTGCTCTGCAGTGCTCTGCATTGCTCTGCAGTGCTTCGCCCTTGCTTTGCATGCCATTGCACTGCTTCTCATTGCTTCGCATGGCTTCGGATGGCTTTGCACGGCTCTGTATGGCTTTGCAATGCTTTGCATTGCTTTGCATGGCGTTGCGTTGTTTTACCCTGCTTCGCATGGCTCTGCATTGTGTCGCGCTGCTTTGCACCACGTAGACTGCACCACATGGACTGCACCACCTGGACTGCACGACGTGGATCGCACTGCCCAGATGCACCGCATAGGTAGCAAGACCTGACTGTTCGGGGCCCGCGCCGCCTAGCAGTTCTTCCACAACGAGAGGGGGTTGGGGGCAGGCGGGAGGGGGGGGGGGGACGACCCGCGCCAGGTACTACTACCACAAGGCGACGCGGGTGACGCAGTGGTCGCCCCCGAGCGCGGACGGTGGGGCCCAGCAGGCGGCGGGCAAGGAGTCCACGCCCGCGCCGGCCTCCCTGCCGGAAGGCCGGCAGGGCGCCAACTGTGCACTGACGCCGGCCCTGGGCCGACATGGAGGAGGGGGGGAGGGAGGACTCCCCAGACCCACATGTCGGCGACGCGTTTTTCGATCCGTGCGTTTCTCTTTCCTCGTGGCCTCCGGGGCCCATTTCTGGGCCACGGGGCAGCCAAGAGCTGATCCGGGTCGGAAGCCTGGCCCCTAGAGAAGCTGCCGGGAGCGTTGGGGCCGCTCGTGGAGCAGATTCATATCGGATCGGAGGACATGTGGGGACTTCGGGCGGATTGTCTGCTTCCACCCCTCGTCTTTTCGTTCGTCTCGGCCGCTGCCCGGGGCCCAGCTCCGGGACCCCCGGGGCTGTCGAAGATGGGCTTCCGAGACGGGTGATCTACTGCCGGGGGGAGGATCAAGACGTGGGGCCGCGCCGACATCATACCCCCTCGCGCCGTGAACAGAAAATGCGACGGAGTGCTTGTGAGCAGTTGTTTCTGCCTCCGGGGGCTGTTTTTGTGCCCCGGGGCCGTCGAAACATGTTCGGCATGACAAGCCGGCCCTGGGTAAACGTCTGATGCCTCCTGGGGTCCGCGCTGGGAAACAAGTCAGGACGTCGGTCGTCTGGGACCTCGACTTTGGGCCGACATCGGTGATGACCGAGGAGAAGAGGATCATTTTGTTTCTGTTGGCCATCCTCGGTGGCCTCAGGAGGGCAATGCAAGTGCACAGTCGGCGCTTCCCGAGGCTGGACCAGCTCGCTGGACCCGTCGGGGCGGCGGTACTACTACAACAAGGCCCCCCATCCTCCACTTGCCTGGCCTCCCAGACGCCCTCCGTCAGGGCGACGTCGCAGTCGTCGTCGCCGTCGCCGTCGTCGCCGTCGGCGCTGCCACCGCCGCCGTCGCCGTCGCCGTCACTGTGGTCGTCCCTTCTTCCTGTCGTCGTCGTCGTCGTCGCTCCATCACGGCGGCCAGTTCTTCCACGCTTTTGGGCCTGCAGGGGCCGCCAGAAGATTGGCTCGAGATGAAGAGCTGGTCTCGAGGGATGGCGCACTGATTCGTCGTTCAAGCACGGCGACCAGTATTTCCACGTTGCGTGCCTCCAGGGGCCAGGTTCGGCCCCCGGGGCCGTCAGAAAAAAGGGCACAGGATGAACAAAAGAGGGGGTTGATGACCAGGGGAAGAGGGGGGGAAATTCTGGCCGGGGTCACGATGTCTCCCAAGATGCCATGGCCCCCTCGTCTTCTTTTGGTACGTCCCTTGGTCCCCGCCTCGCTCGCGCATATGCCTGCAGCCGTGATTTGCGAACCTCCTTTCTGGACGCCCCCCCTCTTGGACGTCCCCGATTTTGACGGTCCCGAGGTCCGGGAAAGACCCCCAGAGGCGGAACGTTTCAGACAATTGCATGTCGCTTTTTGTTTGCTACGGGGTCTGGGGGTGTCGAGAGGTCCTGCGGCCCGCGGCCCGAAAAGCTCGGGTCGTCAGAAGTCTGGGTCTCCAGGCCTCGCCTCCCTCCCTCCCGCCCCCTCCATCCTCCTTCGATGGGAGGAGGAGGAGGAGGAGGAGGAGGAGGAGGAGGAGGAGGAGGAGGGGAGGAGGAGGAGGAGGAGGAGGCGGAGGAGGGGAGGTAGGAGGAGGAGGAGGAGGAGGAAGGCGGAGGAGCGAGGAGGAGGAGGAGGAGGAGAGAGCGAGGAGGAGGAGGAGGAGGAGAAGGAGGAGGAGGAGGAGGAGGAGGAGGAGGAGGAGGAGAAAGAGGAGAAAGAGGATAAAGGGGATGAGGAGGAGGCCGCAATCTGCTGTCATAGAAACTGGAGCAAGCTCTCTCGCAATCAGAGAAGCTTAAACACGATTTGTTACGTTCGTGACAGTGAGAGGGAGCCTCACGTCTCTCCGTGGGCCTGCTCGAGGCTCTCCTCTTCGTGCTGCGTTCAGAGCGGCACCGAAGCACCGACCCCGTGGGATCCTGCAACCCGTGCGACGCAGCAGCTCCGTCCAAGTCTAAAATCAAGTCGGGCCTGTTCCTCTACAAGCTCAATATTCAAAAATAGTAGAAACGTAGTTTGGGGACGAATTTTGAACTATTCTTGATTTTTTGTTGGGGGGATATTTTTTGATTTTTATGTTTCGCCACCTAACATCCGCCTGTAGGGGGACACGCCCGACCTAAATCTACTTCAAGTTTCTTAATACGGTGGGGGCGAACGTTCAGGAACGTGCACAGGAGGCTTCAGGCCCTGGAGGGTTCCTTACCTGATGAGGGCGGCGGTGATATCCATGGCCAATCCACGCTTGGCTGTCCGCTGGTTTCCAGACCCTGGATCCCTTGTCGAAGGTTTCCTCATCTAATGCCATCACCGTAAGCATTTGGGGGGCGGCACCCCCGCCGACAGCCTCACATCGACCTCCGTCGCGGGCAGCCGCTGCGCGCCGAAGGCGCTCTGGCCCCCGTCGCGGCGCGACGACGAGGCCAGGTTGACTCCCGTCGGGGGGATCCCCCCCCACGCACATTAAGAAACCCAGAGTAAGGGTTCGGGCATCTCGAGCCCGTAGAAGCCTCCCTCGGCCTCTGGACCCGAACCTTCTGGACTACGCAATTTCCCCACCCAGAAGGCTCGGACTTCCAAAGACGGAAGAACGACCGAGCCGAGCTTGGGGGGCAGGGGTTGCGTCGAATTAGGATGTAGGCCTCTCTGAAGCCTGCTCCTATGTGTGGCGAGACCCGGATGGGCGATGCTGGCGCAAGCCGCAGTGAGGCCCGAGCCAGGCCTGCAGATTCTCTGCACGCTGGCGCCGCAGCCCGGGCAAAGCATAACTGGCGGTTCGTGAGCGAGCCCATGCGCAGATGCCTGCACGATCTCGTGCCCCTGGAAAAGCCACGGCTGGAGGCGGCCCACTCTCCCGTCGGCAGGATGGTCCGCCGAGGGAGCCGGGGCCGCCTCTCCATCAGCGTAGAGCTCGGGTGGGAGGGCCTGCGAGTCGTGGAGCGCGCTCGTCGACAGTAAGCGCCTGGAGGGACCCGCCGGGTCGTTTTTTGACGGTCTCGAGGGCTGGTAAGGGCCCACAGCGGCTGAAAATAGCCCCCCCCCCCCCCCCGTCGTGGTTTCTTTTTCTTGCCCGAGGGGGTCTGGGAAGCGCCTGGAGGGGCCCGCCGCGAGGCCACCAGCAGGTCTGGCCCGTCCCTCCTACAGGAGGAATGCTCAAAAATAGCCAAAACATGGCATGCGGATGTTTTTTCCCAACCCTCCTTGGTTGGGTACGTTTTGAATAGAGTACTGTGGTCGCGTCCCTCCTTCTCCTCCCGCCTCCCGCCTCCTCCTGCCCTCTCTTCGCCGACGAAGGGGGCTGCGATCTGCGAAACTGTCGCCACTTTCGAGGGCTGCTGGTGGGTCCTGCGGAGTGAGGCACCGCGCAGCTCTGAGCGGGACCTCGCCGTCCCCGAGCGATCCGTATGCGGACGATTTTTTGGGGGGGCGCCCAGGGGGCCCGACCTCACGCCAAGCGCCTGGGGGGCCCGCCGCGAGGCCACCAACAAGTCGCAGTGGGTGCCGCCGCCGGGCACCGTGCCCGCCGCGGCCCCCGCGGCCGAGGCCGCGGCGCCGGCGGCGGCGGCGCGCGCGGAGGCCGCGCCGGAGGCGGCGGCGGCCCGCGCGGAGGCCGCCGCGGCGCCCGCCGCCGCGGAGGCCGCGGCGGAGGCGGCGGCGCCCGCGGAGGCGGCGGTCGGGCGTCGAGTAATGGGACTCGCTCCCAGTGCGCGTGCCCCGAAGCTCCCCAGGAGGTCCTCCGAAGGTCCCTCGAGGCTCGCTGGAGTCTCGTGTCTGGGGGCGTGCAAGCTCTCCAGGCACGCTTTCCAGCGGCCTGACAGGCGTCTCCCACAGGACGCATCAGAGCTTGCAAGCTTCCCGTTGGGGCGCGTCGAGTACCTTGAACTTCCAGGAGGGCTAAAAAAGAGCACCAGGGCCTCGACACAGCTAAATTCCTGGCGAGGTTGGATAGGCAGGCCAGAGAGGTCTACATGTCTGGAGGGCTATTTGTTTTAGCACTCTGTAAGGTCAGGGTAAGGGGGGGTGCGATACACAGAGATCCTCGGAGGTGGATAGATCTCCTACCCTGACGCGTCGCTGAAGGAATTGGCCGTTTTCGGTTCGCGAGAGGGCGTCGCGGCCGTCCTTTTTGCGGGTCCAGGTCCGTCGGTTTCGGTCCCAGGCCGTTTTCACTAAGGGGAGATTTGCTAAAGGGAGGTTTGTCCACCGACGAGATCCGAGGATCTGTTTTTTTCAATCCGGTGGTTTTCCTTGGACTTCGGCCTCCTGGGCCCGTTATCGGGCCCGGGGACCGTACCCTGACCTTCCAGGAGGGCTGAACAATAGCGCCAGGGCCTCGACATATCTAAATTCTGGTCGAGGTTTTTGAGGCAGGCCAGATAGGTCTATATAGGTCTGGAGTGATATTTTTTTAGCACCTTGGACGGTCAGGGTAAGGGGGGGGTGCGATACCCAGAGATCCGAGGATCTGATTTTTCAATCCGGTGGTTTTCCTTGGACTCGGGCACGGGGACCGTCAAAAATGGATCCGGGACGAAAAACCAGTCCCAGGGAAGGGGTCGGGACCTGCTGGGGCCGCGGAGTGAGAAAATCATCTCGGCGGATGTCTGGGCAAGTGTCCGAGGAGGAAAAGGTGCCCATATCGCTACCCTTGCCTCGTTCTTCATTCTGGGCATAAGTTGGGCCTGTCCCTCTGCAGGAGGAATATCCAAAAGTAGTAAAAACATAATCAGGGGACATTTTTTTTTGCTTATTTTTGGAGTCTGTTTGATGATTTTTTAGTTTTCGTCCAAAACCGGCCTGTAGGGGGACAGGCCCAACCTAACCCTCGTCGTCGCGGCTGGATTCGCCTCGAAAGCCTGGCCAGAGCGCACCCTGGGAAAGGTATGGGGAGTAGCGGTCTCGGCAGCTGTTGGTGTCCCCAAAATGGAGGGGTGAAGAAAGATGCGCCTTTTATGCCCTAAGGGGGGGGCCCAAAAGGGGCACGAAAGGTCCACGTTTCTCCCCCATGCCCCTAGTTTATCGCCCCCCATGGATTGACCTCCGAGGCGGCGGAGCCGGCGGCGGCGGCGGCGGCGGCCGCGGAGCCAGAGATCCAAGTATTGAAAAGTCCAAGCTGAGGTTTTTCGACGTTTTCGGCTTACCCTCGAGGCCCTCGTCGGACCCTGGGGCCGTGAACAAGCGGCTTTGGATGAAGCGCCAGTCCGGCGGCTGGGGGAGTGGGCCCAGCCGGGGCTCAAGAGACGGGGGTCAATGCAAACGAGGGTCAGTCAGAGCGCCAGATCTTGCAGGATCCTGCTGAACCAGGGTTGCATCGACCCGGGCTTGGCTGCAGGATCCTTCAGGATCTTGCAGGATCCTGCGAAGCCTCAGTGCCCCAGATCTGGATTGACCTGGGTCAGTTCGGCAGCTGGAGCATATGCATTACCAGTGGCGGGCTGTTTGTCAGTCCCAGGACTTTTCGAGTGTCGGGAACGACGTCGGGGTGGTGTGGTGTATACTTGTTTCCCCATTTTCCTTGGGAAACAACGAAAAATTTACACACCAGGATCCCGTATACACCAGGATTCGCTTTCCTGTGCGAGTTTCAGTGCGGGGCCAGAAAAAGCGTCGGTGTATAGAGTATGGCTCCTCACAGTAGATCCCCGATCTAGCCATCTGTGGGCCGCGCATCGAAATAACATCAGTCATCCTACCCCGTAGGATTGGGGCCCATGAGGTGGGCACCAACACCAATATCGGCGGTGCGCCAGCACCGAGGGAAGACTATCCCGATCTCGGTGATGGTGGTAATATTTTGGGCTTCCTGGGTGGCCGAAAGATTGGCGGCAGCACCAGAATCTGGAATCGTCCTCCCCCGGTGGACGCAACCCCCTGTTTTGTGGGGAGCCTTGAGACGGGGGTCAATGCAAACGGGGGTCAGCCAGGGCACTGGATCCTGCATGATCTTGCGAAGATCCCCTCTGGCTGACCCGGGTCAGCGAGCCGCTCGTGGCCGCGAGGCGGCCGCGCCTATTGGCTGACCCGGGTTTGCGAAGCCCTGCGGTGCAGTTTTTTTTTTTTTTTTTTTTTTTTTTTTTCCTGCACTGCAGTTTTTTTTGTTTCCTGCTTACCCGGGTCTGGATTGACCCGGGTCAGAAGATCCCCGAGCCGACCGTCGCCGCCGACCGTCGCCGCAGCGTCGTCGTCGTCGAGGTCGTCGACGTCGTCTTCGTCCTGGTCGAGGTGGTCAACGTTATCGTCGTCGTCGCCGTCGCCGTCGCCGCCGTCGCCGCCAGACGGCGATTTCGACTCGATCGATCCGATTCGATATCAGCCTCCAAGCCCGTGCCAAGCCTCCAAATAGGAGCCGGTGCCCCACACGCCGGCGGCCGCGCCCGCGCCCGCGGCCGCCGGGGCTGCTGCGGGGCCCGCCCCGCTGCCAGAAGGCCGCGCCGCGGGACCCAGCGGAACGCCTCTGCGGCCCCCCGTTGTTTTTGTTCTACGAACGGTTTTGGGCTCCCCGTTTCCATCCTTTTTCTCCTCCTCGTCGTCCTCCTCCTCGTCTTCCTCCTCCTCGTCCACGCGTCCTTCACTCCTTTTTCTCCTCCTCGTCGTCCTCCTCCTTTTCTTCTTCTTCTTCTTCTTCTTTTTTCTCCTCCTCCTCCGATCCGTTTCCCTCAGGACCCGTTGCCCCCATGCAGAAGTGCACCAACCCCGGGCCTGGGGGGCCCTCAGCTCCTGGCGCTGCATGCTTATCCTCCTCGCCCGGCTTCGGGGCCAGGGGCCCTCGCAAGTCGAGCCAGCCCGAAGAGCGACACGGAAAGCTGCGGTCCTGGCCTCCGTTGGTGTTTTTTTGGGGGGGGGCGCTGCTGTGCTTTTTTCTGCGATGCCAGACCCGGCGGGACACCGAGGGGCCGCAGTGGCCCCGCCGCCCTTCAGGGGAGCCGAGCCGGCGGGGAGAGCGGTGCACCCGGGCGCTGGCCGAAGTTTCGACCGACGGAAAAAGCATATGTTGGGATGCTGCGGTCGGCCTGTTCGGGGCAGCGCGCGGGTTTCGGCCAGGTTTGAGGGCCCGGAGGGGCCCCAAGCCTTTGCGAACAGCTGCGACGACGAGAGGTTGAGCCCCGCGCGCATACATAGATGCGAACCCCAACCCCCGGACAGTAAAGGGTACCTCGCCCTGAAGACCTGAGAGATTACTATCCCCAGCCAATACAGATTTGGTCGAGGGAGAGGGGCGGCAATGCCTGTTATCGAGCACGTGGCAAGGCACGGGCCAGCTTTAGGATCTCCAGAGTACGTGGCAAGGATCTCTAGCTCTAGACCACGGGTCAAGGATCTCGAACTCATCATCATCGTCATCATCACCATCATCACCATCATCGTCATCATCATCATCATTAGCATCATCATCACCAACACCAGCAACAACATAAACATCAACATCAACATCCTCATCATCCCCCTGCCTGGAAATCGTTCAGTACCCCCTTGGACCCCGATGTTTCATTATCCCCCGGGGCTTAGCATCAGTGGCATAGGGTTAGTCAGGCCTGCGGTCAGGAACTTTGGTTTAGCGTGTCGCGCCGCCGGTTCTGGCCCACCGCGCTTCGGCGCGACACGCTAGCAACGTCTCAGTCCCCAGGCGTCAACGTTCCGAGCTTCTCCCAGCCTCCCGCCCCGCGGAGCGGAGCAACACGTTATCCGCTTGCAGGGCGGATCGTGTCGCCGGGGCCGCCGCCGCGACACGCTAAGCAAATGTTCCCGACCGTATCCCGACGGGCCCAGGACCAGGTGTACACTTCTCCCCGGCCACGCCATGAGGGTGTGTGTACCGATCCTTGGCCAAGGATGGGGCTTGGCACTGTCGGTGCGTGTGCGCTGGGCTTGCCATTCTATCTTAGGAGAGTCGCACTCTTCCCTTAAAGCAGTCAGACAGACACCTCACGGGCATAATACAGTCATGACACTGCCGAGTTCACGGAAGCACCTGTGCTCTTTTTTGACCTGGCCATGTTCTGTTCTGGTTGTTCTCCAAATCGATGTCCTTATGCGAGTTTTTATTCAATGCCTAGGACTGGTCAAGGCTCCACCCTTCCAATTTGCTATTGCACGTTCTGGGATATTCCAATGAATTCGGAGGATGTTCCAATGCTGTGGTCCAATTGTGTTCAACGGAGTCCAACTGTAGTCAATGGAGTCCTACCGAGTCCCGTGGAGTCTTAGGACTTCAATGGGTCAATTGTTGTCCAATGGGGTCTATTGAATACAACGGAGTTCATTGGAGTCAATTGGAATCGTATGGGTATTGCACTAGAAGCAAATCGAGTCGTCTGGAGGTCATGGGAGTCCGATGGATTCAACGGAACCTCCAACGTAGTCGTATTGATATTCGAAGGGAGTCCAATGGAGTCGTATGGAGTCGTATGGCCAATGGAGTCTTACAGGGAGTCCAATGGAATCATATTAATTCCTACGGGTCATTCGATGGAGCCCAATGCAGTCGGAATGGTGTTCAATGGTGTCCAATAGAGTCCACTGGAGTCCAATGGAGTCCTGCGGAATCCGATGCAGTACAA